ACCCCGCCGCGGCGGGCCCGCCGGAACGGCCCCCGCCACGTTTCCTTTCCTGAAAAAGCTCCTTAGGCAGCACCATGGCGGGGCGGTAGGAGTGCCATGGCTGCTCGCAGCCCCGGGGGATCCAGACCGCGCTCGGCGTGGGGACCGAGGGCTTTCTCACCAAAATCCCCCTCGCTGCCTTTCATGGTAGCGCGTGATCCACGCGCAAGAGCAAAGGGAGAATAAATGGAGCCCGTAGCCCTCCTTATTGATGAGATACACGTAAATGGCTTTGTCATGCAAATGTGGCTCTAAGCCACTTTCATATAAAGCCTGCTTAGTGCTGAATAGCCGGTGATCCTGGCTTGTCCGTTAGCAGTGCCTGCCCTGTCCTTGAAGCAACGGAAATGAAGACGTACGGGCAGATGTTTGCTCCCTGCCTCCGTACCGAATTGCTGTGACCTTACAGCACAGAAAGAAGTCTTCCTCCCCCCCAAAAAAGGTCTCCCTCTTCCACGAAACTCAATCCATTTCCTGCCAATCCTTCCCTGCTGCCCTCAGAGTGTATCCCTAGTGCCTCTCCGTTCCAGTCCTAACGACCCACAGTAATTACCCGCATAGGCTGCGTTTCTGCTATGTCGAAAAACATTTTATTTCATTTTAGCTTGTCGTCCACGCTTGGTATTAACTTTCGACAACAGCCAGTAGAGTGTGCTGTGAACGCTGTGAAAAGAACATCCCGCTTCTGGGAAATTTTTATATATCTATATATTTAAAAGCAGATAAAGACATTTGCATGAGTGGTAGGTAGTTCCTCCCATCAGCTAAAATACTTATCTCGTCACAGATCACAGAACTTCCTTAAAAATTAATAACCAAGTCATACTAAGCTGACCACTTTCAGCAAGATTGCTTTTCAGTGTTCGTATAAAGTTGGAAAAGTGCCACAATGAACGTGTCCAAATACCTTTCACAGCCGAAGTGAGGCGTCTATAACACAAGGTATTTAATAGATGAAAATAGAAATTGTAATCCTGGCCTACAGGAAGCAGTTTATGAAATGGTACAGTATAAGCATATGTTTCTCCAACCTCATTACTCTGGACTTCCTGACGATGGAGTTACAAAGAGATTAATAAATACATTAGAAGTAAGTAAAGTAAAAGTAGTTTGGAGCAAAGCTACATTTACAAAATTGGTTGTGGGCTGCAACTACCTATGCAATGCAGCTAGTGCTTTATTACATGAAACGGTTGTAGAGACGAAGACAAGAGGTTTTTCTCTTTTTCTCAGGGTCAGTCTGGCTGGGCAATCACAGCAGAATATTCCCCTCAGCGCTGCTTTCAAACAGAATGAATCAAATAACAGTGCTCCTAATTTTCATGCTCATGAGAATAAAACTAATAATTACACCTTAGCAAGGGGTTACAATCTGTCTCACATGCACTCCTCTGTTCATGGGAGAATATTCATGTTTAATGTTGAACACATACAGCTTAATGGGTGCACATGAGTTAACAGTCATAATCGTATCTGTGTTTTCAATTGTCGTTTCAGGTCCTGTATGCCAAGCAATACCCGATATTATTTGGCTTCTGGTAGCCATGTATTAAAAAGTATCTGTCATTACCTGGCAGTGTGAGAGGCAGAAACTGCTGTGTCTCTGTGTAAGCACTCCTTAGCAATAACGAAAACATCCCCATATTATCAACACTGTTTTCACCACAAATCCAAAACATAGCTTTGTGTCTAACTCCTCCAAAGATTAACTCTAACCCAGCAAAAAACAGCAGATAAATGCAAGATTATGTAACCTAATCCTAACTTTACACAAACGATAGCGATATCTTAATTGGTTGCTGTACGTGTGGCCTGCATAAACACCCGCTTGGTGTTTGGAAAAGCAAGGCACGTTTTAAGGAAAGGGACAGAGAACAAAACAGGGAACTTATTTATGGCACTCCATAAATCCGTAGTGAGCTCACACCACAAGCACTGTGCTTGGTTGTGTTTCCTGCTTCTTAGAAAGGAAATGCTAGAAATGGAATAGGATAACAAAGATGCTCAGCTCTCCAGCTTCGTGTCTCTTGAAAGGAACAATTGAGTAGGCTCAGAGTTTTTACTCAAAAGAAGTTACTTAGGGAGGATATGCCTGAGGCCTGTCACATCATAAGTAAGTTGGAGAGGGTAGATAGCAGCTGACTTTTCTAGTACCAGCTATCAAATTTGTGGTAGTGGAAGCTAGGCTCTAAACAAACAAGAGGAAATGGTTCTTAGTGACATGACATGGGGGTGGATGTGTGCAGTGCCTTTCTGAATAGCTCACTGGGTACCAGTGTTCCTCTGGGGTGCAGGGGACATTGGCTAAGATTTGGAAGAGGGCTGTCTTGAGAGTTGGTGAATGAACACTCCCTCAGGCTCAGGAAATCCCAGAGCTAAAAGCAGTTGGAGGCTGTAGGAGTGCTGCAGAGGAGGCATCGAATATTTGCCTTGTTTTTCCTCTTTCCTCGGTGTTCGACTGTGGCCTGTGGTGGAAACAGGATGTTGGACTCAACGGGTTCTTCATCCAAGGCAGTACACCTCTTCCTCTGTATTCATGGAGAATCATACTGTTAACTGATACTTAAACACCTGGAGGCACATAATAGCAAGTAAACCTGTGTGATGGGGTCTTTCAAACCAGATTCAGTGTTCATCTATAGCAGGATTTACTTAGAGAGCAGCTGCTGTGCTGTATATTTCCGTTTTGCCTCATGATACACTTATTTCTCTGTGTCTACAAAGTCTTAATAGCAATCTGCATAGAGTTGCATTGCAGTTGTGTACATAAAACCAAACCATTTTTTGGTCCTACCTCAGTAAAAACGTTTGTTCCATGAAAAACAGATCTAACAAAGTCTTACTTTTCTATGGGTTTGTCTTTTGAAGGGAGTGACTGTGGAGAAAAATACTGCTCCCTCCCTCTCCCTCTCCCTCTCCCTCTAATGGTTCAGGTGGTAGCAACAATTTTAGCCACATTTGAACTCTGTAGCCAGCAACTGACCAGCCAGTATACACAGGCTATTGGCTGCTGCCTCTTAGCATGACTAAGGCATTGGATTTTGTCCAGTGATTTCAAATGCTTTTATGGAAGAGAACAGTGCAATTGCATCCTTGGGGATGGAAAGCAAAAAAATACCATGCCCTTTGTGGTTATATTTCCATCAGGTTTTTAGTTTGATACACTTATTTCTCATGTTACCTTAAATAAATTAATAGTGAAGTGTTGCTGGCTTCTTGGTGAAAAAGAAGCATATGACCTATGAAAAATGAAGGGAACTTGTTAAAACTAGGGAGTGCACCTGCTTGGATTTGTATGTTCTTTTTCTAAATTCACCTATGCCATAGCTCATGGATCAGAGATACACAGTGAATCATCCTGTTGGACGGAATGGGACACGCAGAGTAAATTAAGTTTGTCATCTCTCTGTGAGATTTTCTCATTTGCTCACTACCTGTAGGAGGGGATTTTCATAGTAATGCAACCTGTCTTCATGCTCCATTTATCATCTCCCAATTGATGTATATAATCTTGGTTGAACAGATAGATAATGGACGAAACACGTAAAGTGTTGAATGCTTGAGCAACAGATATGAAAAGAACAGGTAGACAAGAACTGAAGTGCAAATGTTTAAAGACAAAAATTGGCATTCTGCCCTGACAGAAGATCTTAATGCAAGTTTGTTATTATTTTCTTATTACAGGAGATGACAGAATGTGAAATTACAATGTAAATATCTTTTATTTGCTCGCATTGTACATGACTTCTCTGTTTTATTACTTTTACTGAATAAGACTTTAATATGTTTGCTTTTAATATCAATAGAAAACACTGGTTTCACATCTGTGAACAGGGAGATGTCAAGGCATGATGAAAAAATGCTGCTTTTTGCTGTTTCAGAGATCGTCACAAGGCTGATTGCACACTTTTGTTGTTGACTGGCAATCCAGAAAGAGAAATCCTCTTCCACTACTTTATTAGGAAAATCATATTTCTCTTCCATTCACATACAAAATGGGAAGCTGTGGCAAAACAACAAACATTTTC